ATGGTATATAATAATGGATATAATAGATGATTTAAAATCAATGAAATGATTATTTTCTACTTTATTTATGTACATAACATTTTTGAAAGTGATCCAACTATGCATAATGTGTTTAGACCTATGAAATGAAAAAAAATTATATAAGCATTACATATAATTATTGAATAAAAAGAGAAATAAATATAACTAATTGTCATTCATTACTTTATTAAAACATATAGTTGAATATTAGAGTTGTTCCTCATAATACATACATAATCAACCTTTAGAATGAAAGAAAATGCATGTCTCTCATAGAGTTTAGTATGTCGTTTAAGTTTTTCCCAATAGACAACATTCCTCTTTATCACACCGTTGGTATTAAATCTGAAGTTGCTTGATTTGAAATATATAGGACATGATGCTAAATTGTCGCTAATAGTTAGTTGGACAATGTGTTGTGTACAAACTTCCCAAATTATACTCAGATCGCAGACATGTCTAGCTACAATGTAGTAATTTTCATGCAACAAATATTTTTTTCATGAAATACTTCAAAAAATAAAAACCTATGAAAATCATATTACATTAAATATGTTACTCATTAAGTTGATGAATGAGCGAGGGTATGTGTAGCATACATTTATTTTAAAAAGATAGAAGTTGCAAAGTGTCTTTTAGGTTGAATGAAATCGCATATTCTCATTATCACTAACTGACTTATGCTTTTTTGCAATATATAGTTAAAAATGTGTCTTAAAAATTTAGTTTCCACCAGTGTAAAAGAATTATTTGAACCAAAGGATTGTAGTATCGTATCGAAAAATTTGGTAATAGAGTATCTTATGCTGAAGTCATAATTTAACTATGATTCAACCGTTTCATATTTCTAAATATCACATTCGATTTAGCCTATGGTGTGAAGTTTTATTGTCGAACCGCTGGTACGTACGATCTTTCAATTCAAATTTTCAATAAAAAACCACTAAAATATTGACATTATCAAGTACCCCTTAAATCTCAGAAATTATAATGATCGTATTATGGAAAAAATCATCTAAATGATAATATTGATTTTGGATTTTAAATTGAAACGAAAAAATCTATCAAATATAATGTCATCTTCTAAAATAAAGCAAAACTCAACAGAAGAAGGCCAAGAATACCCACTAATCAAAGCAGAAGGACAATTATTTCACACTACCTCATTTTTGCCTTCTTTACTGCGTCCTCTCGCTCTCTCTTTGCCTTCATCTTTGTTTTTCTATTTGTTCTTCCATCTCTCTCTCTGAGCTTTGTATCTCATCTCACCACTCTCCCCCTTTCCCCTTCCTCTTTCTTCCCACTGTTTGGAATCGAGAGAAACCTAGAACATCCCAATTACTTCTCCAATTTTGCGTTATAAATCCTTTTTCGTCATTCACAGTCGATAGTGTGAATCAGAGCACCTGAAACCTGGCGAACAGATGACCACTTATTCTTCGACGGAGAAAAGTAGTTTGATAGCTTGTTAATAAACTAATTACTAAAAGTGATAAAAATGAAACTCATTAAACCAATCGAGTGAGTGTATAGTTAGTTCATCGCTTTAACAATTTTATTTATCTAAAGAATCAAAATGCATAGTCAAGTTCATCTTCACTTATGTACATGTATTTGTAGTACAAATTCATTACACATAAAAATGGTTTTGAACCGACATATCAAACAAAATCTCATCTTATGATTATTGGTCAACCGGGCTGAAAATTAATATTAATTTAAGAATCATATATAGCTTCCAATACTCCAATTCAATATGCAATATTCGAACAAATAATATATGAGTTTGAACCCTTCCTCAAATTTTTTAGACCAAAAAATCTCCCGCTCCCCCAAACACACACACATTTGCAAAGAAATAGTAAATCTCAATGTCTTCTTCACTTTACTTGCTTCTAAAGTGATTGTTGACATTGTTTGTTACTGCAAGCTGTAAAAAAGACTTTTCAGCTACGAAGTTAAGCAATAATGATTTTATAAATGAGTATTTAGTTATATACATTGAAAAGATTGAGTCTCAAAATAAACAATGAATGTATTTTATAAACCTTTTAGAATATGATCCGTCATACGTTGATGTGAAAAACTACTCATTAATTCAAATTATAAGATTACCTGTCATTTTATAGGTTATAAAAATTTGGGTAAATACAATATATTATCCATAACTATTAAAAAGTGGGGAATTATATCCACAACTATCGAAATACAAATTATTATCCAAACGTTAAGTCTCTGTTAGGAATTCTGTTAGTAATGTTGACTAATCTTTTAGGATGCTGAGCTGGCTCCTATGTGGCAGTCAGTATATCATATTTTAAATTTAAATTTAAAAAATAAATAATTAAAAAATGAAAGAAAAAGATATTCTTCGGCCCTCCATCTCACCCTGTCGTCGCCTCTCTCTGCCTCTGTCACCGCCGACCCTTCATCTCACCACCTTCGCTTCACTCTCCGTCTCTATCACAACCTCTGTCGTCGATGCTTGGCTCCAACCCCTACCCAAATAGGAGCAATTCAAGCTACTGTCTCCTCCACTCTCAAAAGAGAGAAGAAACTACGCTGCTCTTCGCCTTCCTCACAACTTACAATCCAACAGATCTGAAATCTATAGATCTCCGACAAACTCGGTCACAATTGGAGATTAGAGATGGCGGTCACGATTTTCCCTTTTCTTCCTTCCCTCTCGTCGTCGTGGATTGGAAAACCCACAAAAATTACAGCCGACATAACCTCCGCCCTAATTCCATATCTGCCTTATCTAAAGTCCGATGCAAGAGAGTTTCTAGCTCCCCATTGACGATCGAGGAGAGGAAGGAGATGGAGGATGCGGTGACGATGGCGATGGAGCCGGGGTTCACGGTGGGGGAGTACAATTTCTTCTGGGTGTACGATGGGCACGGCGAGGCGAGCGTGGCGGAGGCGTGCAAGGAGCGGCTGCACGAGCTGCTGGCTGAGGAGATTGGTGTCGCAGCGGCGACGGGTGGGGGTGGGGCCGGGTGGGGAGGAGTGATGGGGAGGTGTTTCGAGAGGATGGACGGGATGGTGGAAAACAAGGTCGGATGGTGGGGTCGACTGCAATGGTGGCCTTGGTCGGGAAGGAGGAGGTGGTGGTGGCCAATTCCAGCTCCCATCATCTTTCTCGTTTGTGACTGAGAAGAAGAAGAAGAAGAGAATGAAAAGAGGGAGACAGGGGACTGGAGGGCGGAGGAAGGGAATGAAAAGAGGAGAGAGGGTTTTCAATTTTTTTTTAATTTTTTTATAATTAAAAAATAAAAAAAATTATATATTTAATAATTTGCTGACGTGGACGCCAATGTGGAGGCTGACGTGGCAGTTTCCGTTAAAAATTTAATGACGGTAACGAACTGTTAGCCATTTCTTGGCTCGCAACAATAGTTATGGCTAATAATTTGTATTTTGATAGTTGTGGCTATAATTTCCCGTTTTTTAATAGTTATGGATAATATATTGTATTTACCCTAAAAATTTATAAAACATGTATTAAACTTGGCATTTTTGAAGATTTAATAGACTAGCTAACCATCATGGAAAAGTCATTTTCTTTTCAAATCTCCGCTTAGTGTTTGGGGCTACAATTTATGATGATAAAACAAATTTGTTTAGTGTAATTGATTTTGATTATTGTTTTTGTTTGAAGAGACCATGGTTCAAATCTTGATATTGATACTTTTTTATGAAGTAGATAATAATTGCGATGACAAAAATACTCTTCCTACTTTCACTCTCATTTCACGAAATTTGAATTGAAAAATCTTAAAATATTGCATATATCTTATAGAAAGAGCTTCTTCAACCTAGTAGGAAGGGTATCTTACCTGAAATTATTATCTTATAAAAAGTAATTACTTGTGAAATCGTAACTCAAGTAACATTAATCCAAATATTAAATATTAAAATGTATGTGTGCTTCAATTTAGACAAAAATACATATGTGTAGCCAAAACATTGATCTTTGTGACAAATAAAGTAATTTTTTGTGAGAATCTACACATAATATAAAAATAAGTTGAGCGCTATGACGAAAAAGAGCTTCTTAGAATCACTCTCAGACCACGAAATTTGAGACGAGACTCTCATTTTCAAGTTTTATCATTATACTATGTGTAGATTTGTCACAAAAAATGACTATACTTGTCACAAAGGTCCATGTTTTGGTTCACTAATATATTTTGTTTAAACTAAACTACACATACAATTTAATATTAATGTTTGAATCGATGTTACTTGTGTTTCGATTTTAGAACTAATCGCTTTTTATGAAATATAAATAACTTAAGATAAAATATAAATATAGAAGCATCATTATCAAACATATTCTAGAGTTTAATAAAAAAATAACAATAAATATAATTTAGCCTAATTAGTTATAATGCAAGAAATTTGAAGTGGGACAATTTCTATCCATATTTTTCCTTTATATATTTTGTAGATATGGTGTATAATCTCGTATAAAGAAATCGATCTAGGATTAAAGGTGGTGGATGCTTGTGTTATGGGCAACCATATGGCCACGCAAGCAAGCATTGACATTTTAATTAGAATAATTAAAAAAAGATTCTTACTATTTATGAGGCATTTGTTGTGCACAGATTTTTGTTTACCGTCCACTCCTCCCCCAACAACACATCATCTTCTTCTCGTTGCTCCTCCTTCAATCCTTCAAGGCAAAGGATAATAACTAACCCAATAAACAATGGGGAAATAAAAGAGGCCATATATTTTCAAGTATATTTTTTTTACAGATTAAGAAGAGTTGACCTGTAGATGGAGATGACGTGGCCTGGAGAATGTTTCCCCTATAAAATGCAGCCTCTTGTGCCTTCATTGCTTCTTCACTGGAAACCCAGCAGCCAGCACCTCCCAAAAAGAGAAGCAAATAAAAACTTTACAAAGTTCAAAGCTTTTCTCTCCTTTTGTTTGTTTTTCTGCTAAAGATTACAACTTTCCCTCCTCTAATGGCTATCCCAGTTGTTGATTTCTCCAAGGTTGGCAATGGTGCTAGCTCTGAGGAAAGGGCTGCAACCATGGCTCTCATTGCCAAGTACTGCGAGGAGTGGGGCTTCTTTCAGGTCCGATAATAGTATCTGTCACTATATCTGTCTAGTTTATAAGGGCGATTGATGCTACTCGAACGTTTTATGCACCAACTAGTTGATGGCGTGGATCTAACAAACAACCCCACCAACTGGGCTACCCTTCTTTCTCTTTTTTTTTTTTTTTTTAATATTGTTCTTCCCACATTTTTGGAAAAAAATTCCTAACATTTTTCTTTCTTTGTTTCTCTCTTGTAAACAGCTGGCCAACCATGGAATCTCGGAGGAGCTCCTTGAAAGGGTGAAGAAGGTTTGCACAGAGTTCTTCAAGCTGGAAAGGGAGCAAAATTTCAAGCAATCACCATTGTTCAAATCCTTGAGTGATTTGCCTGATGGCCAAATGCTGGAGAATGTTGACTGGGAAGATGTCATCACACTTCTTGACCACAATGAATGGCCTTCACATACCCCTGGATTCAAGTAAGCAAAATGGAACCCAAAAAAAGTACAATCTATTCTACAAATTTGCTTTAGCGACCATTGTTTGGTCGCCAAAAGCTCTTCCAAAAATTTCCCTTTCTGCTTCCTTCGAGCCACTAAACTTTCCTGTCCCCATTTCAGGGAGACAATGACAGAGTACAGGGCAGAGCTGAGGAAACTTGCAGATCAAGTAATGGAAGTGATGGACGAGAACTTAGGGCTACCAAAAGGGTACATCAAGAATGCATTCAACAGTGGTAATGGAGAAGAAGAAGAAGCATTCTTTGGTACAAAAGTGAGCCACTACCCACCCTGCCCCAAGCCAGAGCAGGTGACCGGGCTGAGGGCCCACACCGATGCAGGCGGGGTTGTGATGCTGTTCCAGGACGACGTCGTTGGAGGGCTCGAGGTGCTGAAGGACGGGGAGTGGTTCGATGTGCAGCCAATGAAGAACAGCATTGTGATCAACACCGGGGATCAGATTGAGGTGCTGAGCAATGGCAGGTACAAGAGCGCCTGGCATCGTGTTCAGGCGAAGCCCGATGGCAACAGGAGGTCGATCGCCTCGTTCTACAATCCGTCGATGAAAGCCACCATTGCTCCAGCTCCACAGCTTGTTGGGGAGGAGGAGGGAGTTGAGGGTTTTGGGTACCCTAAGTTTGTGTTTGGGGATTATATGTCTGTTTATGCAGAGCAGAAGTTTGAACCCAAGGAGCCAAGGTTTCAGGCTGTGAGGGCCATGTGATTATGTGGTTTCCAACTCTATGAGTTGGGTTTCCCTTTTCTTTTCTCCCCTTTTTCTTTTGATTTTCTCTGAACAATACATAATGTGTTGGGAGAAATGAAGTGGGTTATATGTGTGTGTGTGTTTGTGGGTTTAGATTTGCTTATTATGTATTGTTGGCTTTGAGATGGAAATGGAGGGAGTAAATGCATTATCCATACATGAACTTGGTTAGCTTTGTACTATACAATATATATGTCATGTTGTGATGGAGAACTACTATTATAAAGACTGAATCTTCTGTTCTTGTTGCTTCCTTTTTTTAATTGGTTGGTGCAATTTACATAAAGAGGGAAAAACTAGTATAGTATGTGTTTGTTAGTGGGAATCCAGATGTGAGTACCCCCCTCATTTTTTTAATGCTCGTTTGTATGCTTTAAAAATTGAAGAAAAAAACCCTACCCTCATGTACCCTTTAATTTTATTTTTAAAAAAGATTGATAATAAATAGATACACATACTAACAAGTTCATTCATACACTTGTCAAAATCATTCCCTATGTTAAGAGAATCATAAACGACTTTCCATGATTTGGTTGAGAAAGACTCTAAATCTATGACTTTGGTGAGTTGAAATTGGCACTACAGCCAAAGGTCACATAGCCTGGTGGTAAGGAAGACGAACTAGTGACCGAGAGGTCCCAGGTTTGATCCTCACCGCCACCATGGTGTTCCCGGAGGCACCCCGCATTTGCCCGGACTGCTGGCGGAGGTCCCGAGGTTTGGTGATGCCCTGAGAATTTTAGATTTAAGACTAGTAATATCATTGGACCAAATCTTTGTTCCTCACAAATGGGGGGTCTTAATTTTTGTAAGCAAGATAAGTCCAGTGGCGGAGTATCATTGGACCAAATCTTTGTTCCTCACAAATGGGGGGTCTTAATTTTTGTAAGCAAGATAAGTCCAGTGGCGGAGGCTGCATTTCAAATCACCCATGTCCTCTTTTCATAACTTAAATATATAAGTATCTAATAAAATAAGTATCTAATAAAATAGCATCTATAACGGCCTCGGGTTTAGGGGGGCAGCCCAATTCATTCATAAATTAAAAATAACTGATTATACTATCATACTTTTCAGAAACAACTACGAAGGAATTTCATATAGTGAAAGAAGCGCAAAAACATTCGTTGTCTACACTATTATATAAGTATTTTTCAATGTATCTTACTAAACAAGTATTAGCAAGCTGGTCGCCAAATCGACTTGTAAACTTGTTCTTAATATAACTCAAAGCTGAAATTTTTACACTTGCAGTTGTAATTGGTAGATCAAAACTAGCGTGATTGTCGTTGTCGCTAGACAATTTCAGGGTTGTTGGGGAAAGATCGAATAGCATAAGGAGCAAAGAGACCCGATTAGTTCTTTATTGCAATTGGAATTTCGTTTATTGTATAGTAAATTAATTTTATGTCAATTTTGGACAAGTAATGAGTTGTGTTGTAGTGACAAAGTACTCTAATACTACCTATACCTGTTGTGTTCCACCACCAATATAAATATATATATGGCGTATTTTTGTTCCATCGAAATTTATCCTTGTCCCGGGACAAGGCCAAAAGGCCCTGCCTCCGCCACTGGATAAGTCCCCAGAGCATGGACGAAAAACAAATTTACAAAACTAAAAATAAGAAAGAACGGTAGCCCATATACAACCGAGCTCCCGATGAAAGAGCATTTTTTGCTCACGAGGTGGGCAGCTCTTAGAAAACTCCGAGAAGCAAAATTACACGAAACTGACATAGGAGACGAGTAGGGAAAGGCTCATGATTTAGAATGAGAAGACTTTCTCGATGTAGCATCCCTCAGAAGCCGACGAAGTCAGTTTCACATCCTTGAGGATTCTATGTTGCCCCATGAAATTGGACCAGCATATCTTTGCAAGGGAAGGTTATGCTTGATCCCATGCTTGGTCCCCATGTCCAAACACGAAAGCAACCTAATGAGTCACTGCAAAAACAAACAAACAAAATGAACCTCTACTGGGAAATACAAATCTATCACACGAGATTAAAGCAGGCCATTGAGGCATCGCTGAAATTTCTACATCATCAACAAAATAGTTGTATAAAATGAATATTGCTAAGTCACAAACAATAAACAATAAAACAATTACCAACCACATACCCTCCAACTAGAAAGCAGCTATGTTATGTATGACTTCATGTTACGCAGAAACCAAACAGCTCCCTCTTTCTAGCCATGCCAAATGGTCTCAGACCAAACAAGGGCTTATGTAGTTGGTTAGGTAGATGATGGTGATGCTAATGGTGACGAAGGCTAATTGTTCTTCCTCTTCTTTCTCTTTTTGGGAAGGAAGGGTTGACTAAACCAAGCGCTGTGATTTTGTCAACAGGAGGCTGGTATGTTGCCATTATTGCGAGATTATGACCCACTAATCATTCTTCTGACCAGATCATTATTAAGAAATGTTTTTGTTTTAAGTTGGACCACATCCAGATCATAATTTCAGCTACCACTGTTCCAGATTTAGAAACTCACAATCATTATTTAGCTCTCTCTAAATGGCACAGTCAACTAACAAATTAGTCAACCCCAAAATGGAAGTATATATCTACGGGTGAGTACGCTTTTCAATTACTAATTTAGTCAAATTGCGTTTAAGGATCTAGAACTTACAATTTTATACTTTTAGATTACGATAACAGTTTCACGTAAAATTACACTTTTGACTGCATTGCAGCCATCTTCATAACTAAATAGAATGTTCCTCGCAGGAAAGAGGTAAATGATTATGGACACTGATCACTGAAGGTATATGGGTTACATTCATTTTCCCCAACATTGGAGGGTGCCCAAAAAAATCGTTAAATGTACCCTTCCTACCTTCTCTAGAACCATGTATATGGTGGGAGTTAATAGTAATGCTGATGGACGTATAAGGTTGGCACTTACTGACTGTAAAAATTAAGAAGCTTCCGTAGTCATTCTATACTGCAAACTCTGCACAGTAATCATGTACACCGACGAACCTCGTGGGGAGACAAGCTTCATAGGGCTTTCTGATCTAGCCTTTCGTTCCAGTTGAGGCAGCGAATTAAGCTGTGGAACCAGTCACCGGTTTGGTCGTACTTGTTAACAGTAGGAAGTGGGTGCTGGCTCATCGATATCTTGACCGAATCTCCCCTCGATAGTTGCTGCCTTCTCTTCCCGTCAAATGAAACCCAGGCATTGCTTCGAGCATCCTCGGGAATCTGTTTCAGTAGGGGGAAAAATCACTTTTGGTAACAAAAAACGTGATCCTTTAGCTGAAATAGAGATGGTAAGGTTTTCCCCTGTTCTTACCTTCAGCTCGAGCCTCGCGGAATCTGGAAGTATGACTGGCCTGAAGGAGAGTGAATGGGGGCAAATGGGCGTAAATAGCATACAAGGAACATTTGGATGCACCTGGAATTGCAACAATAAAAAAGACATAAGCCCAATGTTTAATTATACTTCCAGCAGAAAATTAAGTATCCAAATCAGAGAAAGGCCAGCAACAGGGAGACCGAAAGATTCGAGAAAGTTCATTTGTCTTGATTATATTGCAAAGCTTACCATGGAACCTCCGGCTGCAGTAGAATAAGCAGTACTTCCAGTAGGAGTGGCCACAATCACTCCATCAGCTTGCACCTAATTTTTTTTTTTTTTTTTTAGGAAGTCACAAAGGGGGAGAAAGAAGAAGCATTCAAGCCGTGTACTGATAAGGACCTAGAGGCCTCTTCTGATATTAAACCACTTCGGTGTCCGTGTCCACCTAAAGGAGCTAATTTTATGTGGACCAAACTTCTACCAGATCTTAGTTTTGGATTCAAGAGGATGATAACCAACCTTGGTTATAAGACGATCATGTTCGTAGCATTCAATCTTGGAAAGATACGGATTTGAACCCCGATCAACCACCACCTCATTTAGGACATCAAACACTTTTCCAGGGACTGCTTGACCCTTGCGAAAGATTTCACACCTTAGGCGCATCCTGAGAGTTATATAAACACCAACCGTGTTGTCGACATGGATCAGCTGCCTTAGGTCCTTCCTGTAGTCTCCAAACTACACCCAGAAGAACAACAAACAGAAGAGTATCAGTTTGCTAAACAGCCCGTTTCAATTTGCAAGGGCAAGAAGCAGTACGCTAACAAAGAGAAAATGAACTGTTAGAGCTTACACTATGAGAAGTGAGAAATCCAAGCGACCCAAGATTAAACGACACAACAGGAGGAACAGCATCTCTGAACAAATTAGATGCATGAAGTATAACTCCATCTCCTCCCAAGCATGCAACAAAATCAATCCTCTCATGAAGATCACTGCATCAAGTGGACAACAAGCTCAAGAACTAGACACCTGGCAAGTGTGAAGCTAATGACACATGAATTGTCTTCTCAATCTACATTGAGATTATTACCTTGTATCTTGACTATAGAAGGTCTGGATGAAGCCAAAACCTGGAATTCGAGCAAATACATCGTGAACATCAGGTTCCACGAGGACATTCATTTTTTCTTGGTGATACAAGTAAGAAGCCACCTGCATGTTAATGCAGAATATAGTTCAAACCAAATCATATATCAGGTTATTCGGTAAGCTCTGTTTCTCAAAGTAACTCATCTTCTAACGTTGGAGGGAAAAAAATAGCTGATTCTTTCCAAGAAACAAGGCCAGATTCTAAGAGAACATTTACAATCTACAGAAAATGCGGACATAAAGGAGTAGGCGCTTAAACATATTTCGCAAAGGGGAGCCAGATTACCCCGAGAATGGCACTCAATAGAGAGACCGGTTTGGAGAGTGACAGGTTTGACAACTAGGCTGAGTAGTTCTAGATCAGGGTACAAAATAACTTTAACAGACACTTAATCAAACTCTATTCCGTCAATGTTGAATGCGAATAGGAAGTGATCCTTTAATTGTGTATCAAGAGCAGTTCCACACCGATTTTCCATATGAAAGCACGTAAA